GAGTGTGTGTGAGTGTGTGTGTGTGAGTGTGTGTGTGTGTGAGTGAGAGTGAGAGTGTGTGTGTGTGAGTGTGTGTGAGTGTGTGTGAGTGTGTGTGTGAGTGTGTGTGAGTGTGTGTGTGAGTGTGTGTGTGTGTGTGTGAGTGTGTGTTATCTCTATAACTAGCGTATCCTCACTGAGGACACAGATGCCCGACAGCGACCAACCACATCAGAGGGAACATTCTCTCCAAAGCAATTCTCAGAAATAATTTCCATATTTGGTCATAAAGTTTCTGCAAACCTTCAAAAGGATTCAAACGCACAAAAGTGTGTTTTCATTCATGTGACATTCAGAGATAAAAGAGATTCAGAGTTTTCAACAAAGCTTCCTTCACTTCAGGCCGAAGTTCACAAAAGCAGCTTCTTCATTTGAATGCTCAACGATTGAAGTGTTGATGCACATCCTGTGTGTTTTATTCTTGACGTGTATCTTAATATGTTAAATGATTGTGTGTGAATGCAGAGTCAGGACTGTTGTTGAATAAAGGACTTCTCTTCTCTTCTGTAAACTGGTCACATGATGACCACATGCATGATGTCATGCTAACAGGCCGATGCTAAAGCTACAACAGCTTCCTCGCCATCATGTCCGCATGGACAGCGTGCTCGGGGGGGTTTAGCACCGCTATGAGCAGCAGGCTATGCTAGTTAGCCGACATGCTAACATTTAAAATCAGAACATTGTAATGGGTCGAGCTGAAAGCAATGAAAAATGTGTTGTATTGTTGTTTAGTTCCTGCAGATATTTAGCTAAACATCTGATGTCACGAATGTTCTGCAACTAGAACTCATGAAGTCAGAAATAAGAAGTTGTGATTTTTAAGGCCTGATATTTGTACAAATGTTCCCTTTTTTAACGGACAAACTGTCCTGTTCTTTGATGTTTTTCATTACAGGATGGAGACAGAAATCAACCTGCCGTCAGATATTTAAATATCTGAGGTTTAAGCTTTAACTCTGTGACCATGAAGACTTTTATCTGCACACATGGTTTCATTTCCTCTTGGCGAGTCTTCTCCTCTTTCTGAATCTCATCACCGTCCAGCAGGAAAACATCTGGTGTTCAGCTGGAGGGCTTTTCTGCCTCAGATATGACGAACAAAGAACTTTTGGTTCTTTTAAACTGATCTGTTGTCCTTTTGCATCAGGATTTAGCCTCCATAGCTTAGCATCAGGCAGCCACACGACTCTAAACTGTATATTTATTTAAACTACTAAACTTCTGCACTCATAAGTTCACATTCAGTCGGTTTTGCGTAAAAAAAAACCACACAATATTTCTCCCAAAAACCACACAAACACAAAGACATTTAAGAAGACAAATCATTTTAATCATGAAAACACAGATTAGTGATTTGATAGAAACACAATAATTCTTCTTAAAAAGGTGGAAACAAACACATAATAATGGCAACATTCAGCCGAAATATGCAGCAAACAACTTATAGAAAAACAGCAGCAGTGCAACGGAGCAGGACGTCTGGAGGTTAGAGACGTGGACGAGTTTACCAACCGGCTGAAGAAGAGGAGGCGCAGCTGAAGAAGAGGAGGCGCAGCTGGGGTGCGGTTGTTGTGTTTTGGGGAGTTTCAGCTCATCCTTCCAGCTTTTACATATTTGTGGCAAAACAGACGAAGAATTGTAGGATTTAAGTTCAGTTTTTCCTTTTTTAAATAAATTTAAAGCTAATGTGACACTTTACATGACGATGTCTTACTTTATCTTATCTTAAATGTTATCAGAATACTTACATTAAAATAAGAAAAACAATGTAAAAATGGTTGCTTTTGATAACAGTGTTTGGCTTGTCGCAGACATCTCTCCATTCAGTGTAATTTAAGGCTTTTGTTTTGAAAATCTTTATAAATATGTTGAAGGAAAGTGAAAGGAAGTCGCTCCTCAGACGAGATGAGAACGATACTGAGATTAGTGAACGTTTCCCTGCTTGAGAACAAAGATATGTGATGATATAGTCGTTCTGTGTTGTCTGTTGGTGTAAATGAGGTCAAACCGGACTTCAAAGTGCTTCCTGCTGGTCTAGACTTCAGAAACCAGATCTGAACCACAAAGAGTTTCACGTCCCGCTGACTTTGTGTGAATGCCGCCCGACAGGAAGCTCATTAGCAATGAGGCAGTTCTGGACGGAGGGGGCGGGGCTTCACACAGGTGCGACCAGGTTTTGGTTATTCAGTCTCTCGGAGTCCTTTCCTTCCTTCCTTCCTTTCCTTCTTTCCTTCGTCTTCCTCCTCAGTTTTTCTGGCACAGATGAAGTCTCGCCTTCGAAGGCGAGGACTTTGCCGACGAGGACGAGGAGGACAGCGGTGACGCCTGCGGAGTCGAGTGGCGAGACGGGGACGCCGCCATCTTGGACTTTGCCGCTGCCGCCGCAAGCAACGACGAAGACGAAGAAGACGTGGACAAAGACGGGGCGTTGCGCTCCCGTAGCGTCCGGCAGCCGAGTCCACCACCACAGGGGCAGCGCTGGAACAGCTCCAGGCCGTGGTTCCCCTTCCGGCGGTGTCGCGTGCAAACCTGTCCCTCCTGCAACACGGGTTTGCAGATGCGGGTCCAGAAGTGACGAGCGCAGCAAAGACCGTCGGAGCAGTCGGGGGAGCGGAGGCAGGGATCCCCGACCTGTCCTGAGACACAAAGACACCTTCATGAGACACAAAGACACTCCTCGGCCAATCAGGAGCCTCGAGGCAGAGATTGAGACGGGTTGTTTGGTATAAAGAGAAAGAAATGAAATAGAAGAACATTTTGAATAAAGAGAGAGGAGAGGAGAGGGGAGAGGAGAGGAGAGGAGGGGAGAGGAGCAGAGGAGCAGAGGAGGAGAGGAGAGAGGAGGGGAGAGGAGGAGAGGAGGAGAGAGGAGCAGAGGAGAGAGGAGAGGAGAGGGGAGAGGAGGGGAGGGGAGGGGAGGGAGGAGAGAGGAGAGGAGCAGAGGAGAAGAGAGGAGAGAGGAGGGAGGAGAGAGGAGCAGAGGAGAGAGGAGAGGAGGAGGAGG